CATGACACACGCTTTTTTTTTAAATACGATATAATTATGTTATATTGCATCAATTATGCTTCCAAACACTGTACACCGGAGCCACAACTGGAGCACAGAGTGAGACCTGGACCTCATAACAGTCCGGTCTAACCAATAATAGCAGCTGATGGCCAATGGTGGTATAGCCGACCAGGACATACAGCGTACGCTCAAGGTACTCAGTTTAGGGCGTACGCAGTACAACCAAAATCCAGAACCGGTTACACGACAAAATGCATGTATTGTAAACCTTATGTGGGATCAAACCGCGTAACTGAGGATTTCCCAGCTCTAGATATGAAAGCAGCAATTACCGGTAGTTATGGGGTTTTTGGCCTGATGTATATTTGAGGTCTCCCGTCCCCCCCCCCATCCCCCCACCCAATCACCTCCGGGTCATTAATAACAATCATATAGAATGACATTGGTCAACGTACTTTTCAGACTCAGTGTCACAGCCAACGGTGACTTCACATCCAGGGATGAGTTTGGCGGCCAACACCGGAGAGATGCAGCACAATCCGATTGGCTTCTTCTTGGCATGGAAAGCTTTGATCGTCTCCTCGATGGCTTTGTCCACTGAGCAGTCCTTGCCCTCCACAGCCCAGGTAGACAAGTTCTTAGCAACTCCGAAACCACCTGAAGGACAGAAGATGGGAACCAATTAGCCTGCTGACCAATCCCCGTTATATTATAATTCTCTGTTTAGAGTTTGTTTTTGTGATAGATAGACCATCCCCCCACCCAATCACCTCCGGGTCATTAATAACAATCATATAGAATGACATTGGTCAACGTACTTTTCAGACTCAGTGTCACAGCCAACGGTGACTTCACATCCAGGGATGAGTTTGGCGGCCAACACCGGAGAGATGCAGCACAATCCGATTGGCTTCTTCTTGGCATGGAAAGCTTTGATCGTCTCCTCGATGGCTTTGTCCACTGAGCAGTCCTTGCCCTCCACAGCCCAGGTAGACAAGTTCTTAGCAACTCCGAAACCACCTGAAGGACAGAAGATGGGAACCAATTAGCCTGCTGACCAATCCCCGTTATATTATAATTCTCTGTTTAGAGTTTGTTTTTGTGATAGATAGTTGTCCAAATGTGGACATTTCCTTCACTTCCTGTTGAGGATACAGAGGAAACCCAAACCCAAAATGGAAGGTTTGGATGGAGATACACAATATTATTCTTCATATTCAATATACAAGTTAGAGAAATGTATCGATCTGGTGCCGTACCCGGTATGATGAGTGCGTCGTATGAGTCCACTTTCAGACAGGCCAGGTCGGTGATTTTCCCTCTTGCGATCCGAGCGCTCTCCGTCAGCACGTTGCGTTTCTCCTCGGTGGGCTGTCCTTTCACATGGTCCACCACATGCATCTGCTCTTTATTCGGGGCAAATACTTCATACTGTGGGGGGGAAACAATCGATAGGACTTTATTACATAGAAAACCTACAGACAACATCAGGTTATTTCATGACAACAGTAAAAGGAACTCCAACATACACACAAGGTCAGCATCATGGTCACTGTGGACCCTGTAGTTCTGTTCAGATCAACTGCTTAGATGGTAGAACTTTTGTTATAAGCGTTCAATAAGTGCCAAGACTTTGTGGATCGCGCCAGAAATCTTGTGAGGTGTTAAGCTTTCTGTGCAGCACTTATCAGTTATATTGTTCCCAGCTGTCTAGGTGTGAATGTGGCCTTGGGCTCCAGGTGTAGCGGGAACGGGAGGCAAATGCGTACTTTGATGCACGTTCACAAGATGCACACAAACAGGAAACACGTTTGCGTTGCCAGCCCATTACTAGTTACTGGCACCCCAAACGCAGCCAGGAAGACGCATGTTCATTTTCCACATTAAAGAGAGGGAAAAAGAGAGGAATGCGTGTCACAGATTTTGCTACATGAACTACTTTTATGCGTATAGAAACCCATTGAAAACAGGGAAGCGCAGCAAACACAGGAAAAAAATTTTAAAAACGTGACACGTTCCTCCTATGCCTAACAGGTCTATTCACAAAAGGGTGAAGGGTTTGGGGAAGGGACCACTCTAGGCCAAAATAGCTGATTTGGATAAAATTCTCCAATTCAGATCACTTTCTGGTTCAGCTATGTTGTCCTAGATTGTTCACTTCTCCGGCCTTCTCCAAACCCTTCACCCTTTTGTGAATTGACCCCTTTAAGTGTGAACAGATCCTTCTAGTGGAGAGGTGTTCTGTAGTCCTAAGGGTGAAAACATTGCTTCCCCATAGATACAGTACAGGAAGTGAGTGTTGTCACCGTAGTTTGTTACTGGCAGGATCACCATCACCAGGTAAAAAAAAATATATTATATATATATATATAAATAT